TGATGACATAGCAGGAGGATGGGATATATTTGGTCAGCTTGTGACCCAAAGGCTGTCTTTATGGTCCCAACTCTCTGCCATAGCCAAATGGCATTGCTACAGTTGTTGGAAAAAAATGGTAGTGGCAACTGAATGCTGGCACCAATGGGTGAGTGGGAGAACCTTAGTTGAATTGGGTACTTGTGACATAGGGTGGAGGGCTTCATTTTTTGAAATGCTCACAGGGATGTGCCTGGTGCAGTGGGTGATGGGAGGAAGGATATGTTATCAGTAGGCTAAACGTGGGTGCAACCTTGCAATCTTGGCTACCTTCCAGTTGACTCAGCAAGGGACATTGTCAGCGATGATCAAATGGGCTTGTTTATATACTTCCCTGCCCTAAGAGTTTGAGGTAGTTTATAAACTCATTTTTTCTGTTGATTTAAAACCCATTTGGTCCTATCTGTATGCCAGAGCTTGGAAAAGTTAGATATCTGGATTACAGATTTTAGAATCTCAGAATGTTGCCATGACCTTTTTGTTTAAGTGGATTCTGGGAGCTGTAGTCTCAGAAATAACGTTTAATTGCTCTGCTATATAAGAAATGCACATCTATTATGTTTTATATATATATGGTTTTTACTATCTAGGAAACTTTTCTTCTGCATAATTCCGCTATGTTTCCTAACTCACAGCAACAAATTGCAGCTAATTAATGAACCCCTGCTTGGATTCCTCATTGTGCACCACTTGGATGGCTTAGCATGAAGCCAGAAGTCCAAGTGAGGACTCTTTTTTTAAATTAAGCAGCATTTTGCTGTTGTGAGTTGTGCCATTACCTTTCCACTTGTGTAACTATGCAACAGAATTTTAACTATCAAGTTTCTAATTTCTATTTAAATTAAAACAATTTGGACCAACATTTTTTAAAGCAATCATTCCATTTTCCAGTTATATTCCTTTTAGAAACCGTTCCACTCAAGGGATGGCCGGGAAAGCATGTGCTTTACCATTGATCTCAGCTCCAGAGATTCAGCATCAACTAAACACTTTGGCCTACATCCAGTTCTTGGTTCAATTTAGAGTAGATGCATAGGATCAAGGAGAATGTGGGAAGTCAACATTTATGTTAGTCCCATCAAGTGAATGGATCTGCTCAAACTGGGACTAAAAGTTGGATTTAGTCCTTGTAACTGTATCTCTGAAACATGGATTATTGTGAAAATATGGTCTTGCCATTCAGCCGATTCCAGTTTCAGCCAAACGATGTCCCTCAAAAACAGTGGTGCAGGTAAGCAGACCGTCTTTGACACTGAATCAGGAAACAGACCCTCATGGATTTGGGCTCACCTAGACTTCAACCACCTGCAGCTGGAGGCCCTATTGTTATGAGATTGTGACATATGCAAAGCCCAGAGTTTAATGGGCTGGATTATGGGGTTACTCTGAGGGCACCAACATGTGAACAATTCTGGCAAAGACAGGAATTAGATATGGTGACTTCTTGTGCTCTTCCCCCAACCCCTCAGTTTTACAGTTCAGTGAATTTAAATAGTTCTCACAGAGTGGATAAGAGTCAAGCGGCCACAGGCCATTTCTCAGTGGAAATCTTTTAATGAACAAAAACTGTGCTGTGTGGTGTTTCATTCTGATCACACCTTCTGTTTTAAGGCCTTGCAAACATCACTTAGAATGATGAAGAAGAGCCCAAGAGGTCTGGTGAGAGCAGTTTTGGTATTAGGCTGTTGGAAGGTGGAACACATCAAGGGAGAAGCATGATAACTGGTTGATGTCTCTTGTCTGTTTCCAGTAACAGGAGAGCAAATTCCTGGGGCCTCTGCCTTTTGAGTGTGTAGGAACCAGAGTCTTTACCTTTATCTGTGTCTTATCTGTCACCTACCACGTTTGATATTTCCAGCCTCTGCTTTCAATTATCAGTCCTCAGAAAGAGCACTCAGTAATTTCAAGAGGAAACTCTTGGAACCTTTGACCTGTGCTTGTCAGATAACCCAAAGTATTTACTGAAGATAAACTATCATTTCATTGGTTTCAAGATGTAAACATGTGTACTTTGTGCTGCATCGGTTTACAGTAACCTCCCTCACCTAGAAGTGTTTGGTATGGACTCCTGCTTCTGTAGGGAATATAGAGATTCACATAAGGTTCCTGACCATCACAGCAGATTATATTTAGAATTTCTTTATATAAACAGCCAGTCCATATATTGATCTTAATAGGAGGCAGTGACATTTGTGAAGTCTTGGAATGACTGTGTGTATGAATAAAGACTCAATCTCATATTAGGTTTTATTTATAAGCAACAGATAAATTAGTTCTTAGGTATATAGGCAACAAATTGAAATATATGCACAAATAAACTTTTTGGGAAATGGTGTGTTACTCAAATGTTACTCAGAAGGGCAAAACATCAACCTGGTAAGAGTTTCTGGCTTCATCCAAACTAACATTGTAAACTTTGTAAATATTTTACTGTATTTATTCGATAAATGCAACACATAGACAGCTAGTTAGCGACCATTTCCTCCTGTCCAAAATGGGACTGCAAGCACTTGCGATTATATATTAGGCATGGGATTTCTAGAATTTTGGGGACCATAAATCCCATAGTTATCCATTCTGAGAATTCCTAATATAGCTTTAACTATTCTTGTGATGTTTTTAAGATGAGTAGATTTTCCTTAGCATAAGCTTTCATGCAGCTCACTTCGTTCAATGCAGGGAATGTAGTATTGCTTATTTAATCAAGGGATTTAGATTTTGACACTTGGAAATGTATTTATTCATTTATTGAATTTATATCCTGCTTTCTCACCCAGCCCCAGTGGGAATCAAGGTGCCTCAAAAGAATCCTGAACAGAAAGCTACCTGCCATTGCCCTTAAAAGCCTGACTTTCTTATAGCTAAGCTACTTAGCTACTGGGTACAATGTAGGGACTAGTGCCAACTTATTGACTAACTAGCACATTCAAATTGTACAGTAAAGAAAAACACTGAAGATCCTGCAATTAAAGAATGTTACAAAGATAATCAAATATATTTATAACTTTGGAGAAATTTTTATTTTCTTGGTTAACGCGGTGTTTTGTGCCCATTCTTTCGATTTTAATGTACTTTTAAAGAGTAGTAATAAATCTTGAATCCGTCCTACAGGCCTAGAAACATATCGGATCCCAGCGAGGGCAGACTGCTACACACTCAGTCCACATGGATGCACATTGCCATCTGCATGTAATTTAGTGTGCATATACAGATTTTGGAAGTAATTAGCTGCTAATAAATAAGTATTTGCAATTAATTCATTTTTTCTATAATCCAATTAATAACTTTTTTCAACGAAGCATAGCTACCTGTGAGAGATAACGCCATTCCATTTGTGATTTAACTGTGACTTTTTGTTACTTTGTCTTTGTATGTGGCCTCTTTAGATAGTGGAGGAAGAATATCACATAGTTCAACTGCGGGTTTCTATTCTACTGTAGGTCTGGCTTGTGATGGAGTGGATGAAAAAAGAATGTTTTTCATCCAAAGCCCATTGCTTGTAACAGGCAGTGGGTTTTAAAAACATTATTAGAGAACTGCTGGATAGCTCAGTGGTTTAAGTATCTGGCTTTGGAACTTGAGGTTGGGAGTTCAATTCCCCACAGGGCCTCTGATGATTCATAGAATCCCTTCCTACTCTGCAGTTCAAAGATTATGATATTATGATGATATGGACTCTTTCAGGGTTTTTTATTTTTCTGAATCAGGAAACACTTACCTCTTGAAAGTATAATCTTACTGGTAACTACCCGGTTTTCCCAAAAATAAGACCTAATTTAAAAATAAGCTCTAGTAGGATTTTCCAGGATGCTTGAAATATAAGCCTTACTCCCAAAATAAGCCCCAGTTAAGTGAAACCCCACCCTCCACCCTTGTGCAGCAACCAGAAGAAGATGACATGACTGTATTTGAATCAATGTAGACTGTTGTACATGAAAAAAAAATCCCCTGAAAATAAGCCCTAATGCATTTTTGGAGCAAAAATTAATATAAGACCCTGTCTTATTTTGGGGGAAACTCAGTAACTACTAATTAGCTTTTAGAGCTGTAATGGTTATTAATTACTCATGTTTATGTGAGTTATGTGGCACGTCACTCTGCTTATACAGATCTCAATAAGCAGCTGTTCTTTATCTGTAGCTTTCAGAGTAGTTTTGCCCTCCGTTGCTAGAAATACTGATCTGTACCTGTTGGGTCAAATGTACCTCAAGGAAGCTAGACAAAAGTTATGAAGTTTGAGCTTATTTGCAGTTTTTTAAAAAAATATGGCTGGTATTGAGGTGCACAAAAGCCATCAGGGTCAGTCATACTCCACAACATAAAGTACAAAAGCTTATGTGGCTTTTTTTAGGTATGTGGGGATTGAACCAACTCTACTAATTTTGAAACATAATCTATATCGTGTGTTTATCATATATATAACAGAATTATTATAATTCATGCAGAACAGTGTTGTGTCTATCCATCTGGATTGAAACAGAGACAGTGGTTTTTATGTTATTTAGAGAGACACCACATTTTTATCTACCCTCCCTATTTCCATGCTGAGCTTAATATCACTCCTAGGTAGTACATATCTCTTTAAATAAACATGGAATAGTGCCTCCTTGCCTGCCTATAATTGACCATTCTGCCTTTTAACCATCCTTTCATTTGATGATGAAGTGTTATTATCTCATGGATGGAAAAAGAATAAAATGACACAGTAGTCTAAAATGTGCAGCTTCCTCTGATTTTCCACAATTCTTCTATCTATTCTCTACCTTCTGAAACATCATAATGGGCTTTTCTCTTTGACTTCACTACACCCAGACTGTTAATGATGTCAACAAATCAAGACTTACAATTTGGTCATTTGCCTAATTCCATATTGATCTCTTTGTTTATGCATAAAGCTTTTAGTGAAAACTGAATTAATGAGTGGCTTTTTAAAAACTCTTTATTTTATTTCATTTTCACAGTGGAAAGAGATAAGGATTTTTCCCATCAACGACGGCATTACAAAGAATTTCGATTTGACTTGACTCAAATCCCCTATGGAGAGGCAGTGACAGCAGCTGAATTTCGGATTTATAAGGACCGAAGTTACAGTCGATTTGAGAATGAAACCATTAAGATCAGCATTTATCAGATCATCAAAGAGTACCCAAACAGGTACCCTTTCTTCTTACAGTATTTTAGATTGTGTCTTCTTTTCTAGAGATATCAGATATTTTTCTAAGGAATGTAAAGATAAGTGAGACTATGCAATGATTAAGAGTAAGACATAATTCAAACCATGGCTTGTAAAGAGAAGCCGTCACTGCTCATGACATCTGACCACATACCGTTCAGAAAAACTTGGTTTATTAAACCATGATTAGAAACATTAGTTTGCAAACCATAGTTCAAATTCAACAATCAACTATGTTTAGAGGCCTTGTTTCACCTTGGGAGATTGCTGTTTGGGAGCATATCCAAGGATATTTAGAGAAGAGGAAAGCCACACAAAGCACAGCTTGCCTATATAGCTGGCATCACACAATAGCTTGAAATCTATGGGATCCTTCATATAAATGGTAATTTGGCATTAAGTCTGAAACAGTTCTGTAATTTGTGTGATGTCAAATAACCTTTCGTGCAGAGTGGGAAATATGCTTTTATCCACAAAACATACAGTCTTAGCTTATCAGGTCTTGTAGATTTTTAGGACAATCAACCAACATTTTAAAGACTGAATCAAAGCCTAGTTTTTTTTTTTATAAAGGGGAGTGTTTCTAACCATTCCAGAAGCTGATAACAGTCTGAATAATATTTTAATTGATTTATGTGTAAAAGAAAGATTTCCACAAAAGCGATGGAAATTTTTTCATTCTTTATGCCAGTGCCATGAAATCATCTTGATCACAGCTTGAATACCACTTTTTTGGACTGCACTTGCCAGAGAATCCTTTAGCCATCTTGGCTAACTGTAGTCTAAAATAGCTGCCAAGTGCTGGTCTTAATGCTGCTCTCAGAGGATTTCATGGGGAGTCCACTGGCCATGACTGTACATTCCACCCTCAAGATATTGAGGCACTGGTTATTGTAATATCTAGAACCTTCGTATTATCTATAAAAACATGTACCTAAAGTTCTGAACACCCAAGTGACTGTAAAAACCTAGCATTCAGGTAACCCCCCACTAGGAGTGAGATCTTACCTAATTCTGATGCTTAAAACAGCTTAATTAAAAAGACATTAAAATGGCCTTCAACAATCAGGATAAATATTTTCTGATGTCTTTTCCAAGAGATATCCTCTATTCTTTGCCCATTGGTTCTTATAATCAATGGGTGTTGTGCAATTCCCAATAAACAACTTGACCAGTTTCCTCCCTGCCCATCCTTTCAAGTTGCGGAAAGAGGATACTTCCTGGCCTTGCAGAGCAACATTCCTTTTTTCAAAGGCTCCCCCTTATTAGAGGGGTTTGCTACATCAAAGTTGTTGGGAGTGGAGTTGTGCAGGTGCATGGATGCAGTGGGGCTTATTTGCTATAATTTTAAAGGAAAGGAAGAGGCTTTGATCTTAGCGATCCTGAGTGAAGTGTATGCAAGAAAGGTGATAGAAGCAGTATTGGGATAATGAGAAGATAAACTGAAATGAAATACAACTGAAGGCATGGGTTCAGCACACATCCTTAGTTCAATTGGAAGATAAGACCCATTCTAACTGGAGCTTGGAAAAGTTCCTTTTCTTGGATTACAACTCCCAGAGGCCCCCAGTCAACAGGGCCACTGGGGAGCATAACTCTGATCTTGGCTCTCAAACATTTCAGTGAGTTCAGTAAATCAGCATAGAAGATCTGAACTCCACTGTTGATGTCACAGCTGCCATTTGCCCACCAGGAGCCACACTTGATATTTGCCTGGTATGATAAAGGTGGAAGAGAATGCAAAACAAATGGTCTTACCTGTGAATTTTCCTTTAAGACCCTCCCTAACTGGACAGACACCCCTCCCTCCCATTGTTGAGATTCCCAGAATCATGCCAGTGTTCTCACATTAATGAGAGGATGAACTGTATTTGCCTTTGTTCATTTGGATTCTTTCCCCTTCTTTATTTTAATAGCTAGCAACTCAAGACAGTTGGGCCCAGGTCCCCATGTGAAAACATGTAGGCAAAGTAGCATCTGTATGAGAATAGAATTAGAGGCAGGCTACAATAGAGTGGGAGATGTTGGAATACCATGAACCATGCAGGAAAACTAGCTGCTGGTTAATAAATGTATATTGGGATGATCTGCTTCACTTTATTTGAAATATATAAAAGCAATGCAGAATGTCTGTGGGGGCTATAAATTGGAATCAACTTATTTCTGCGAGTGAAGTTTGTGACTATTTGTGGGCATGCGGATCGGCGAGCAGCCGTGGCGGGCATGTGCCACACTCATTACAAAATATACTTTATAAATGAGGGAAGGGGAGGGAAGGGATGGGGAGAAGGAGGAGGAAAGGAGGGTTTGCAGACGTCATCCCACCCAGTTCCGGGCGGTTAGACTCACAGGTCCCTTATCACTGGCCAAGGACATTTTCTCAGTTGGACTAGTTAGTTGCAAGCAACAGCAATCCAGGCAGTCTCCCTCCTTTGTCTATTCTTATCTGCTAAGCAGAAACCCTGATACAATAGGTTTACACATTCATTTAGCAAAGCGGTTCCAGAAAGCAAAATGGCTTTGGTTAGGCTAAGATATATATATTATATGTATTAATTTGACCCCTTCAAGGGTTAACCATGTGGGTGTCTGCCACGGTGTGTAGGGTTGCCAGATACATGGGTACCAAAAGGAGGACATAGAAAGACAAAAAAGAGGACAGAGGAGGATGTATGGAATGTTTCATTTAACAAACAGGAAGGGGGCCGATCCAGAAACAGCAGCTTCTGATTGGAAGCAAAGCAAATAAACCCGAATCCATCCCAGCCCGGCTGTGGGATTCCCCGGCCGCTCGCACTCTGCACAGGCTCAGAGGTACCTTGCTAATCTGGACGCCCAAACAAGGTTCTTGCACAGGCAGGGGGAAGGTGGAGCTGGGCAAAGCTGAACGAGGCAGCTTCCCCTCCCCCAAGGGTCATAATTTCAAGGCTGGGGAGTGTGGGAGTTGGAGTCCCCGAAAGGGACTTTGAACACACACAGTCCGGGCACTTGCCTCCCCATCAATGCACTCGGGTGCTGCTTGCTCCTGCCTGGCTCGGCAGGTGGCACTCTGCTCACGCTGCCTTTCTGGGCTCCATGGGGCCTGAGCGGGCATGGCGGATCGCCAAACAGCTGTGGCGGGAGGAGGTGAGGGCTGTGCTCTGGTGCCTGCGGCACATAACAGAGGGCAGGCAGATGGGGGCGGGGAAAGACAGGGGGAGGGGTCCTTCCACCTCTCCCCCTCCCATCCAAAATTATAACATAAAATATACAAAAGCCAGACATTTTAAAGGTTTTTATCTTTGCCTACCGGACGAAGGACACGTCTGGCACCCTCAGGGCAGAGAGTTCTCCTGAGCTGAGCCCCGTAATGTCTCTTCGACCCATCCACCCCTTAGGGCAGGGGTTTTAAACTCAATTTACCTGGGGGCCACTGGAGGCAGAGTCTGGGAGAGGCTGGGAGGCATCAGATTTTCCCCCAAGCGGAGCAAGAGCCCAAGGAAGCCGCCCAGGAGTTTCCTTAGCCTGGCTGGGGCTCCAAGGAGGAGGAGCGCGCGAGCCCTCATTGCCGGTCATGACCCCATCCTGCTCCTTCACTGCCACCACCACCACCAGCAGCAGGACGAAGAAGCAAAGAAGGGAGGGAGCGCTGGCGACCGCTTAGCGGGGGGGAGGGCACGACATAATTTTTTTTTAAAAAACCCTCACAGAATCACCTTGCCAAAGGAGAAAAGTCCCCATCGGTACCTGCGAAATTAAACAGAATGGGGCGGGAGGCCCCACAGGTGCACATGCGCACATGCACACACACACAAAATGGAGGTTTGGCAACCTTCCTCTGAGGGTCCCTTCAAAAAAAGGCGCACTCAGCAGTAGCAGCTACCCCCACCATGACAGAGGAGCAAACTTTGCGAGGCGAGCCCAAGCAGCCTCCAGAGCCAAGGTGGCTGAAGCAGGACGAAGAGGAGGAGGAGGAAACACCACCAGGCGCTGAGGTGGCTGCTGGCCGGGCTGGTGCTGGGGGTGCCGAGAGAGAAAGAGAGCCAGAGAGCTGCTTCCCTGGAAGAGGTGGCAGCGGCAGCTGCTGTTGGTGGTACTGTTGGGGGTGCTCTTCAAAGACGGGCTGCAAGCGATGCTCTCAGGCATCGCTTGGTGGCAGCTTGGGTGCTCGGGGAAAAGGGCTGGCAGTGTGCCTTGCTTGCTAGCTCTCCCCCAAGATAGCGCCTCTTGCACCCTCCATCTGGAACTGCAGCCTGCCAGCCGGCAGACAGACGGGCTGGCTG